GACCGAGGTAATTTGCTTTAATTACAGAGTTGAGGGGTTTTGGTTGCTTTGCAATCATTACTACCATTTTCATTCAAAAATGAGAATTTAAGAGGCATCAAATAGAGACAAAGATTTGTCTGAGATAATCTTGTTTAAAAAAAAAAAAAAACCAAAACAAAACCAAAAACCAACGAAGAATAGAAAACTTTCAAACTGTAAACCCCTAAACTAGCTTTTTTTTGTGTCAGGTCTGGGATTTAAAGTCAGATTTTTGTGAAAACATTGAAAACAAGTGAAATTAAAAAAATCCAAGTGTTGATATTTCTACCTCTTTCCCAACTTGTAAATGAATGATCAAACATTACTCAGAAATTGCCTGGTTTAATTGTCTGTTAATCTGTATCTGGATATTGAGTAAGGCAAATATGTTACACACCAGTCTGTATCAAAGTAGCTGATCCATTAATTAAAAAATTATGTAAAATCAAGGAAATGCCAGTATTTTTAATAACAGATGTTTTAAACAAAAGACTTTGGGGAAAAAATAATTTTATTTTTTTTTAAAGTGGAAGTTTTTATACACGCTTTAATTAGATTTTGTCAGAATACATTATTTTAATGGTTTTTCTTTAATGAAGACTGCTCATTGCTTTGTACAGTAAAAAGAAGGAAAAAAGTAATCTTGGATTCTATTTAAAGAGCAGACAGTGTATTAAAAACTATTAAAGGTGCTGCAGTAATTGACAGAAAGATTTTGCATGAGAAAAGAATCTAGGAAGCATCAGGTAATTTCAGACAAGGATGTGTGATAATATCTCTGGCCTTAAGTCTTGTTTGAAGCTTTGTGTGTCAGACACCACAGTGTTGCTGAGGTCCCTGACCCCAGCTCTGCTTTCATGCCTTGGAAGCCAGTGGCCCTTTTGTCCCTGATTTAAGCTGAGGTGTAAGGTCACGTCCTCAGGCACCTGGCTGCAACCCAGAGGGTGCTCGTGGAGTGTCCAGACTCGGGAGATGGATGGGCTCTGCAGCCCCCTGAGCCCCGAGCACACACAGGGCAGGGACAGCAGGGCTGCAGTCACTGGGGCTGTGGGGAGAGATGCTCTGTCCTTGTACCAGCCCAAGGCAGGAACGGAGCAAGTGTCCTGTGGCTCTGCGGGGTGGGGGGGGTGAAAAAATGCCCTGCAGGGTTGGGAGAGAGTGGTCTCCTCTTCAATGCTTGGAGGGATCACTGAGGTTGAATTCCCTTTCCTTACTGCTTTCCTCAGCCCCCAGGCCTGTCCCGTCACTCAGGAGTTCTTCAGTCACCATCTTCTCTTGCTGCCATGAGCTGGGGGATGAATACATCCCTCCTTCCCCAGTGTGGGCACTTCATTGTTGGACCCAAGCTTGTGGTTTCCTGGAGGCAGGACACTGACTTCAATATCTGAAAATGCCAAATGTTATCAGTTATTATTCTCTTTCTGTGCTGCTCCTGCATCAAATACTCCAGCTCCAGGACTTGGTGGCTCCTGGACCGGGGCTGTCTGATGTTTGCTTGCAGGTTGTCCCACTACTTCAGTGGAAATGTGTATTATTTATTAACACAGGTGACGACTCTTACCTTGTTTGGGCTTTTGGAAACCAAATTATTTATCAGACTTAAAAGGCCAGCTCAAATTCATTCAAAATTTTATTTGGTTCAAGCCACCATGCTTACTGTTGGAAAAATGAAATACAAATAACTCACAAGTTCCTCTGTTTCAGATGGGTAAATGTCACACACAGAATTAGGGGATTTTTTTTTTACTAGGTTTAAGTGAAACAGAGTCTTTATTTAGTGTCATGTTTTTATTTAAAAGCATTTATTTAAAGTTCTAAAAAACAAAGAATTCAATAAAGCAAGACAGGTGTAACTGCAAATGATTAATGATATAATTCTCGGTACTTTATAAAGTGTCTAACGCTGAAGAGATTTATACAGTGCAGAATGGCAATTGTGCTTTGATGGAAGGAATAGGTAATCAATATCTGCAAGCTTGGAAAAAGTGTTCTATTTCCTCCTCTAATGATATAGGGGTTTTTTGCAAAGCAAGGATGTCTGGAGCATGAGACACTTGGAAGAAGAATTAATTTGAAGTCTGTAGTGGAAGATCAGTTTCAATTAAAACTGCACTTGAATGTCCATGAAAAGGAGCAGGCAGTTAGACCTGAACCTTCTGATGGCTACCAAGGAATAAGTGAATCCCACTGCACTGTTCTGGATTACATTTTATAGGTTGTTGAGCTTTTTTTTTCTGGGTAGGGGATATAATTTAGTTTGGTTTAAAACTCAAAAGTTTTCTTGTCGCCTCCCCATCCTACCTTTGCCTTTTTGTGCTCATTGTTAAAGCTGGGTTGGCCCCAATTCTGCGCTGCTGGGAACGGAGATGTTGGGGTCATGGCCTCTATTTCTGTCTAGAGTTGCTGCCATAATGGTGTAGGTCATATTGCATGTACTAATTTACATATCAAAAACTTCTGAAAGAAATTAATGGCAAACCTTTTCGTTTATAAGATCCTGTGCTGATTTTAACTAGCAGGCCTTGAACCTCTAAGTCGGAGCTTAGCCTTCTGACCGTAATTTGGGATGTCAGGACTTGGAGTCACAGCACCAGCACTAAGTTGGGGTTTTGAATTGCTGAGAGCATTTAATTGCATTAGATTTTTTTTCTTTAATAATTCAGCACCGGTTTGGAAACATTTTATGCACGGAAACTAATACTGTCATGTGAAGAAAGCAGATACTGCTAGACTTTTCTTTGGTAAATTATAGATTTATAAGCAAGTGAAGCTACTGTATTTATAGGAAGAGATTTATTGCTATGAAATAAATTCAGGCAAGTCAAGTTAATTAAAAAAAAGCAGACAATGTTTTTTTCAAATGACACAAAGCTATATAAGCCTTCAAAGGTCTGTGAGAAACTATATTTCAGCAAAAGTCAGTCCAGGTATCTAAGTCACTTGAGGTTTTAATTCAACATGGTGGTTTGTTTGTTTACCCTTATGGCTTATTTTATTCATTTTGACAAGGAAGTTGTCACTGCAGATAGGTTGAGAGCTGGCTATACTTAAAATAAATAAGTAAATGAAAAATTATGGCAAGATGCACGAAAGGAGCCCTACAGTTCCTGTTAAAATAAAAAAAAAAATCAAAAAAAAAAAAGTCCCCATTGACACAGAATACTTAAAAAAGAAAAATCTGAGTTTGCAGCTCCTTTTGAATGCACAGCTGAAACCACTGAGATAGCCTCTGTGAGCAGAGTGCTTTTGAAAAGCTCACCCCTTTTTTATAACAAAGCTAAAACACAAGAGCTGGCAGGTTTGATTATGTGTAGTGCTAAACATTTTAAAGCAAATTCCCAAATTTCATAGGGTAAGATGCAAGGTTATATGAAAAGTAAATCTGAATTTCCAATTAATTCACTGTAAACCAATTACTAAGAGCATCTTGATTTGGGAAAAAATACCAGTATTTCAGCAGAACGCTTTTGGTTTCCCCCACATAAGGTTTTTAATAATTCTTTTCTCCTTGGTTGTGGTACACTGGGAAATTAACTGGAAGTGGCTTTTGCTGACAATACAAGTTGAACCACGAGATAAATGAAACTGGTTTTTAACCTGGGCAGATGATGTAAATGATTTTTAAAGGATGTTGCAGTTTTGACTAATTGTACTTGAAAGTAAAACACTTTCTTGTTGTCACTTGGGGACCAGACAGCATTTGTGTGTGATGAGTACAGCACAAAATCTCGCTATTGATTAAGTGTCCCGCATTCGCTCATGATTGCATTTTGCAACCAGACAGATTAAAACCCAGGGTCCAGAGAAACTGGCCTTCACAACTGCTGGGTTTGGATGGCACTAATTGAATTTACATGTGCTTCTCAGATGCAAGGCTAATAAATGCACATTGATGCATCATTTACTGCTGTCTGCCTATCGAACAGACCTGCTGACTGTGTAGTTCAGAGGTTCAATACAGGTGTGACATCAGGGGTCTCAGGAGAGCAGGGTTCAACTTGGTTTTGGTAGTTGAGCTTCGGCAAATTGTTTCCCTTCTCAGCCATCAATTTCCAGCTGGAAAGCACTTTAAGAACTGTGAGCAACAAGTGCTTTACAAGAACTCTGTGCTGTTATTTTAGGAGCTTAAAATACTGTTTGCGCTCATGGGAAGATAATCTCTTAGCCTCTGTTAATACAATTTAAAGTTGGGGAGGAAGGTCATAAGAAAAATTTGAAATTCATGGGAGATTCTCCTAAGTGTGCTGCTGAGTATTGTAGTGCACCTGGACCTGGTATGTGGTGTGGATGACAAGGTCTTTGCCTCAAACCTTTTTTTTTCCATATTATCTTAGTTGACTGTTCATCGAAACCAGAAAACTCCTGTAAGAATAGCAGCAAAAGAAAGTTAGTGTCTTCCTGACAGGAAGTCCTCTTTAGTTCCTCCATCCAGAGTAATTTTTTTCCTTTGTTGTTTTCTTTAAATTTACTAATCTACATTTAGTTTAATTCTTTCTTTTTATCTTTTCTGGCTTCAAAACCTCTAAAAGAAATGCGATCCTTCATAAAGATCATATTATTTAAGTGGAGCATTGCACAAACACAAGTTAATGGATAGCGCCTACATTATTTGTCCATTGTGAAAAGGTAAACTATAGAGTAATATATTAGGGCTGAAGCTTTAGGGGAGTTCCCGTAGCACCATGCTAATTGATAACACTTGCACAAGAGGAGCTTGGGAACTGCAGATAGTTTTATAGAATAGTAATTTTTAAAAAAGGCCGTTGTTCATTAGTGCCAGAGGCAAAGTTGGAGCACGGCACAAAGCCAATGGATTTCAATCTCCTCATAAGTTTACACGTCTTAACCTCTTTCACACGAGAGACGCGCAACTGCGGTGGAGTTACCTGGGGAGTTTACGTGCTTCATCCTCACACTTAAGAGTTACCCAGCACTGTTGAGCCACTGGAATGTTAATTGGCATTGGTATTTTTTAACAGGTACCTATGGTCCCGAGCACTGGGTTACTTCCAGCGAGAAGTGTGGAGGGTCTCACCAGTCTCCCATAGACATCGTAGACCATCTGGCCCACGTTGGAGATGAGTATCAAGAACTGCAGCTTGATGGTTTTGACAATGAGTCTTCAAACAAGACTTGGATGAAAAACACAGGGAAAACGGGTATGTTCTCTTCTACTCGTCTCCATAGCCTGCCTGCAGTCAATTAAAAATTCAAGCCATGTTCCACCCTCCTCCTTTTTCATCGTTCTGTTGTTTGGGTTTTGTGGCTCTTTTTTTTTTTTTTTTTTTAATATAATTTTCCAGTAGGAGCCACCTACCTCTGCCTCTGCATTCTGTGCAGAACTAGTTCTGCAGATTGATTTTAAGGGGGCTTTTTTTAAGGTGTTTTTTTATTGCTTTTTTTGTTCTCAGTATAAACTAATTCTCTTGGTAGTCAGTTGTTCCTCAGAATAAAAGGCGGTATAAGAGTTTCAAGGTGTAACCTTGAATTATCAGCTTTGGGAGGCTGTAACATCTAATCCAAAAGAATGCTGAAATGCAAGGCTTGGGAGGAAGAAAAGGGGAAGTCTTAGAAATTGGAAGATTTTAGAGAAGAAAGAGCAATAACTGCTCAGAGTAGAGGAGGCTTATTAATGTGTTTCTGATATGATTATTGCACAGTATTCTTCACTGAACTGAATTCTTTTCTGCTCTGTCTGTTCTGCCTTTTAGAGCAAAAAGAACAGGCATGAGTACTGCTTATTTTTACCAAAACAGTTCACCGAAAGGTCAAGGTTGATTTATATGCAAAGCCACATGCATTTGATTACTCTTTAATTCTAAAAATGTAAAAAGCAGAAATTATAAGGCCACCCTCTTCATTTGACAAGGTCAAATATTTTTAGGGAATTGGATTAAACCACTAATTAATTCAATTTTATTTATTGGAAGTATATTTTTATCTTTATTAACATCTGACATGCATCTCTATAATGCTTTCTGTACTGTGTCCATAGCCAGAGGTCTGCTAGCAAAATCCAGGGCGTGTACCTGCTCAGGCAGTTTGCAGCATGACCCTGAATACACCCATGGCTTCCAGGGGATTTTGGATCTGAGCCACGACCTGGAGTCCAGCAAATGCTTCAGATCCAGCTCCAGTGGTTCAGGATCTTAGCAGGAGCTGAGAGTTATTGCCCCTCAGATGAAATGGAGTGGCAGGCTGTGATCCTGTTTTCTTTTGCTGCAAAGCAAATCCAGTTAACATAAACCACCACCAAGCATAGCTGGGGGTTTTGATGCATTACTGAGGGGTTTTTTTTCCAGCTTTACTAAGAAATGCTCCTGTGTGCTTTGAAATCCTGACTTTTTTGACCTTTGTAGCAACATGAGGTTCAGGCAAGGTTGAATGCTATGGAAATTTGGTGCTTAATTAATCTATTCTTGGTATGAACCTGCCCCTATGGTCACAGAGGCTGTTTGTGGTAATCAGCAATAAATGTAATTAGAAATACCATGAAAAAGTGATGGTTCTATTCTTCAAAGAAAGGTGCTAATGCTATACTGTACATGTAATAGTAACATTGCTGCACATATAGTGGGAAACCATGTTAGAATCATAGAGTCATTTAGGTTGGGAAAGACCTCTGAAATCATTGAGTCCTGTTGTTAACCCAGCACTGCCAAGCCCACCACTAAACCATGTCCCAAGTGCCACATCTACCAATCCTTTAAATACCTGCAGGGATGGTGAATCCACTGCTTCCCTGGGCAGCCTGTTCCAGGACTTGACAACCATATTGATGAAGAAATTTTTCCTGATATGTAATCTAAACCTCCCCTGGCCCAACTTGAGGTCATCTCCTCTTGTCCTATTGCTTGTTACTTGGGAGAAGAGACTGACCCTCACCTGGCTAAAACCTCCTTTCAGGTAGTTGTAGGGGGCAATAAAGTCCTTTCTGAGCCTCCTTTTCTGCAGGCTAAAGACCTTCAGCTCCCTCAGCCTCTCCTCATCAAACTGTGCTTTGTTGCCCTTCTCTGGACACACTCCAGCACCTCTATGTCCTTCTTGCACTGAGGGGCCCAAAAGTGAACACAGGATTTGAGATGTGACCTCACCAGCACCAAGTACAAGGGGACAGTCACTGCCCTGGTCCTGCTGGCCACACTATTACTGATACAAGCCAGAACCTTGTTCTGTTGAACTGAAACGTGCCAGCAGATTTTCCAGTCTCCACACGGTTGGCAATGAAAGCTGAACCTTCAGTCTTCTCTGCTGGGTGATTTTAGCACTGCTGCTATATTTGATTTCCTCACCCATTGGGGTATGGATTTTTGCTGACAAGTTATTGCTTCTCAGAGCAACAGTAACTGTCACTTTTCTTGGTAACTTACGGCCTTTTCCTGGTAATGTGAAGACTCTTTTTGCCTTGCTGTCAGCCCCGGTTTCTTCTGCTGAGCTCCTGACTCCTCCCTTGTTTTATCAAGTCCCATTCCTTTTCTTGGTTTTCTGACCTTTTGAAGAAAGTTGCCTGAGATTAGTTTTTGAGGGGGTAAGTGGTAGAGCAGCAAACCAAGTAGGATGTTTTGGCTTGTGAGTAGAAGATAGAGGCAGGCTGTGCCATAAATTGTGACACATTTTGGCAGCAGAGTCTCGGAGCAGATGGCCACATGAGACCTTTCGTATTGCAGACTGGCAGAGACAGTAAACTAAATAACTGTTTAAGCAATGGTGATGGATGTAGAGGGCATTTCTCTGCAATTAATGACTGGTTAAAAGAGACAGGGGTCCCAGGCAAAGCCAAAGGCCCTTAACCTTAACGCTCGTTAACTGGCAGGAAATGTGTTACTTAGGTTATTGTTATTGCTATAGGACCTAGTCTTTTTTTTTTTTAGAATAGAACAATGAGTTATTTTTATACTCTGAAATGTTAAAAGGTAAAGAGGTTATTGATGTTTTGTTTAAATTTGTTCTGCTTTCTTCTGTGTCCCCTCCCCCCCCGCCCCGTATCAGGTAAAGGGCAGACAATATATGGAAAACAGTGTTTCGTTCAGAAAACGGAAATGTTAAGCCCATGTCTCGACTAGAAATGCTTTTGTGTACAATTACATTGGCAAAGGCACTAATGTGTGTTTGATTTCATCACTATAGTATCTGGCCATAGTATTAAGTGATAAAGATCACTTGGAAAGTATGCACACATTTCGTGGTTATGTTTGCATTAATTGCTTTCATTTGGGTCACGTTACAACTAAGTGTCAGCTGGTGTCAGCCGGGCCTGAGGTTGACAAGGCTTCTTTAAACCCAACCTGCCCTGTGGAAGAGCACCCATGGGAGCAGTACCTCTGCCAGCATTACACACATATTGCCACTTTGCCCCTTTTAGGTCATTGAGAACTTCTAAAAACTTCTTCTACTTAAAGAAACTGGCTACCAGAGATGTTTGAGATTTTTTAAAGTACTTTCCCTATGTGATGTGCATCACTCTGGCTGGTCTTGACCATCAGAGCTGCTCTGTAGAGCAGGGGAATGGCTGCTTTGAGTCCAGGTTTATTCCTGCTTTCATAGGAGTCATGGTCCTCCAACTCCATCCCTGAACCAGCAAATGACATCACACAATTGTGGTCCTGGTGGCTGCAAACTACTTCCTTTGCTTTTGTAATCTCGGTTATGCAGTATTTTAAATTAGTGGGCTTTGGGGGTTGATTCCTTCCACTCTGTAGAAATTCTTGGATAAAAGTAGTGGCTCCCAATTCCCAGTAAGGTGATGCTTTTTTATTCAAGTCCTGAATACTAGAGGTCACTCTTACTGGCAGTAAGAGGATGCTGCTGAGCTGGGAAGGTGATGGGAACACATGTTGTACAGCTCAGCAGTGCAAGAAATACTGTAAAATGAACAATTAGATGAACATTTCAGATTGTACATCCTCCTAATTATCCTTTTAATTATTCATCTAAAACAAGTAAAATGACCCCTGACAGAGCCATAAATTATTTAGAAACTATCAAATATTTATTAGATGCAACTGAATCTCCACAGAGGTTGTTAACAGATGCATGCGAATCTGCTTTCCCGTATTCCGCATCTCCTACAATTTTATCTATGGAATGTATAATTGAATGAGATTTTCACTATTAAAGTACTGCTGAGCCCATTGAGAATTTTTTAAGGGAGGTAGAGAGCAGTGGTGCTTTCAGTCACTTACATTTCACAGAATTAGTGTAAGAAAAGAGTGACTTCCAGTAGTACCGTGGCTGACACAGGCACTACCCCATAGCCAGGACTGCATCACATACTTTCCCACAAAAACACTTGGATGCAAAGGAATTGTCAAAAGAAGCAGAAATGATGGAAGAAAATAGTCAGGTGATTTCACTGGCGCAATTTAGATGCATCTGAACATCTCATTCAATTTACCATTTACATAGTTTTGACATAAACAGTTTAAAGTTGAACTGTGTGGAAAAACGTCACTGTCTCTCCTCATGGGAGGGCAAAAAGCCTGGCCTGCAGCAGAGCCTGCACTGAGTCACCAATAGAGGAGTAACTTTTATTTCACAAGCAGCTTTTTTTGTTGTTTTGTTGTTTTTTTTTTCCAGCAGAAATAAATTCCTCTGTCTTACATAATAAAATTGGATTTATATTAATGTTTCCATTTCAATGACACAATTGGCTTGAGAACACAGAGAAACCTCTGTGGGTTTTGCTGTTTCCATTAAAAAAAAAAAATCCCTAAACCAACCCCAGATCTTTAAACACAGGATTCTAGACACAGCAAGCAGTAGGCTGCAGTGGCTTTTACAGAAACAAAATTCTAATTTTAGTTCTGTTTTTAAGCAACAGTTTGTGAGGGATGAGAAGAAAGGATTTTGTAGGGAGGAATTTTTAGGAATTGTGTGTATTAAAAATAAGAGATGCTGAAAAGACGGGTGATCCTGTAGTGAGAGTAGTGGACAGGAACTTTTTGAAAGCTGGAGTCAGTTCTTGGTTGGACCACAGACCTCCCCTGTAACATGTACCAGCTCCCACCGTACGATTTTGCCCTCTGTTTGGACCTACAGCTTTTATTGTTACATAAAATACAAAGGCTTTTGGGAGTGAAAAGCAAATACAAAGAGGATCCTTTTGACCCTTATTGAATCACGTAATAATAATGTCGGAGTTACTGTAATAAAACCAAGTTCTCATGGAGGATGTTTCATGAGTGAGTCTCAAAAATGTTATTGTCACTCTCCCCATTTTACAGAGGGGGGGGAGGGAGGGTAAGGAAAGCACCCGCCTTGTCCAGCAGTAGAGGTGGGATGGGGCACAGAGGTCCCCAGCAACAAAATAAAGGAAATCCAAGAACAGAGGACCTGTTCTTTTCCTAACTTGTGATCTGCAGACCTTCTGTGGTTTATAAGGGCAGGGACCATGGTCAGCTGTTACTTTCTGGAACCGCATTAAAGAGGTTTTGATGGAGTTTGCCATTTAAATTTTAATCAAAGTCCAATAAGGAGGGCAAAAAGTCCTTGAGAAATACAGGCTTCGGGGTTTTCTGTGGTCTACGTAACTTCATAATCACTTCCATAATTAGCCAGCATTAGTTGTAGACTTTTTTTTTTTGAGCCAATCTCTGTAAAGCAGAAAATGATAACCTGACATTTTGCTTGCATTAGAAAAAGTATTCTGATATAATGAGCAAAAACCATAAATGCTTCAGAAAAACTGTGCTAAGAGTTTTCCCCTCATTGTTCTGTGTGTGCAGTTGCTATCCTGCTGAAGGACGATTATTTTGTCAGCGGTGCCGGGTTGCCAGGAAGATTCAAGGCAGAGAAAGTGGAGTTTCACTGGGGTCAGAGCAACGGATCAGCTGGCTCTGAGCACAGCATCAACGGCAAGAGGTTCCCTGTCGAGGTGAGTGGACAGATGTGCGCTTCTGTTCTCAGAGAAAACAAAATCAGAACGTGTTGCTGTAGTTTGAGGCGACAGTGAAATAGGGCAATGCTTCTTTCAGTGAACATATCACTTTACAGCCCCTTCCGGCCCTCGGAGCACTCTATCTATCATCTCTCATGTGCTTTTGCAATGCCAGCTCCGAGCTCTGCTTTGCAGACATTGCCAGCTCTCGTGTCCCATGGGTTAAGCTGCAAACAGCCACTTTTCTCGTTTCTTGCATAAGCTTTCCATGTGTGGGAGGATCTCCTTACAAATATCCTCAAAGTGACCTCATTGTCCTCCAAACCTTTCCTTTCCCACGATGCTTACAAACAAATAGCGGCGGTTTGGGAGCCATCGTACCGAGACCGATGCTTGTCATCGGAATTACTTCCTTGCACAAACTCATGACGCTCTCTCTACCTGGATTCAGGTGCCACCCCTTGCCTTGCACTAACAGGATCTCTACATAGATCCGTGCAAGCAGCTCTGTGTTTGCTCTGGCTGTGCTGGAGCCAGCTGGGCCCATGCCAGCCCCAGCCCGATGGCCGCCCAGCGATCCCAGCAGGGCACTGTGCCACGGCGGGAGCGAGGAACCGCTGCGGGCACTGTGCCCTGGGAACGCCGCCGTGTTGGGAGCACAGGACCAGGTGACTGTCTGCAGCTGGCTGCAGGGACAGGCCTTCAGATGTCCCAGAGAGTCCCAGGCCATGGGCTGCTGGGGAACCTGATGCGGTTGGGTCTTGGCTTGAGACCGATGGTCCCAGGTGGCTCTGTTGTCAGTGCAGTGTTTTCTGTGTCAACAGAGCTTGTTGATACTTTTGACTCAATAGTCAAGGTTTTGCATGGTGAGGTAAAGCAGATGTTATCTGGTGTCACCTTTGCCTGTCAGTAAGCAGATACGTGCTTTCTGAGTGGCATTTCAGAATGTGCGTGCCCAGAAAGCTCACGCGTGGGCAGAAATGGTCATCTTGGGAGCTGGGTCTGGCAAGAACGTGATTCAGCCCCCAGCATGCTAGAATTCATCACGTGGCTTTAGCCAATCACATATTTCAGGAGGTGGAAAGGGGTTTCTAGAGCTGAAAGGGAGGTTGTAATAGACTCTGGTGCATGACCAGAACCTCTGGTTTTCACCTACCTGCTCAAACTGCCCCATTACACGAGAATTAGAAGCCATTTTTTTGTCTCCCATTTGTGTACCTGTATGTTGACTTTCTGGGAGACAGAGATATTATCTTCTTTTTATTGAGCTTTTCAAACATCATCTCCTTGATGTAGCTGTGATTTCTCAGAAGGGGCTACCCCAAGAACATGGAGCAAAGGGCCAATCATTGTCATGCTGCCCAATCTGTCTCATTTGGCGATACTGGTACTTTTAAACCTCAGGAAGGTGCAGTCAGAAAGTCTACAGAGCCAGTCAACTCCTCTTCTGAAATTTCAAGGGTGGAGGTAGTGAAGAAGCCTGGACCTTCTTGTTTGTGTCAGAATTCACAAACCCTTTCTTATGATGCCAAGGCTATTTGGTGCTGGCTTGATAAATGGATTACTTTGGAAATAAGCAAATTCCTAAGAAATAATTTTCCTATGGCTTAAGTGTTCTTAATTTTCTTTTCAGTTTGTCAGAATTCTAATTTTTTCTGCTTTAAAATTGAGGGTGAAAAACAAAGGAAACTGCCTTGACTTCCTTTGAGAAGTTACGTCACTTGTTTATGAATGCTGTGCAAAATAAATTGCTGTATCAGATAGGTTTAGTGTTAATCCTAATAAGGAAAATACAGTTTTCCAAGAGATTTGTGTTTGTTGCAATGACATGGTCCTCTGTCCTCTGGCCTTCCTTGGTATGATGACATCAGCAGAATTCCCACAACCATTCCTTTGCTTTTTTGCAAAGGAAGAACAAATTTCCAAACCAAGACTTTCCCAGTTGTGATCCTATTTACCTCCTACACAAGAATTCTAAATTTCAATCATGTGCTGAAAAGGATTTCCCTGGGTGGATTTCGAAGGATCCAGTAGGTCTGAGGTGATGAAACTGAGTCTTTGTTGCCAATGCATACAAAACCAGTTGGCATTACACCTCTCAAACAGGAACTGTACATGTATACATGGTGAAGCTTTTAATTTGTAATGCTAATTGTAGTGCAGCTTGCAACTGTCTGATGCAATCCTAATTGCCTGATGCTGGGAGGTCTGTGCCAAAAATACTGTGCTTCATTTGAGAAGTGACGTTTCTAGGAAGACTGTAGAAAGGATAAACCAAAATTCTATCCTACAGAAATCAAAGCCCAAATCATTCTGTTTATTCTGAGCCCATGGGCATAGGTAAAGTTTTAAAGTAGCATGCAGGTATTGGCATTCCATGTCTGCAGCAGTTACAGTGGTGATGCAGCTGAAAGGAAACATTTTCTATGTCTAATTGTGCAACCAGATGTGGACTATGCAAAACCCATTAGTTCCAAAGCACATCCCAAGGGAACACAGATAGATCAGCTTCATCCATAGACTGAGCTCTGCGCACATTAAGTTTAGAAGTTTTTTCCTCTGGAAAACAAAGTGCTTGCTGGTAGTCTTTCTTCTTGAAGAGGATGCAGAAACTAATTAGAAATGTCAGATATAATACAGAGCATTATTGTTTGACCATGTTGTTTGGTTTTTATTATTGCAGCTAATGTGTCAGATGGTAAGGCTGTCTACGTTAATTGGTTTCCTTCATTGAAGCCCATCTGGATCATATTTTTTTGTGATTTATATGTTAAATTAGTTGGTAAGACATATGAGAACATCCTTGTGTTTCCTGCTTTAAAGGCATGTTGGATCAAAGGCGTATTATCTTGCAGTACTTTTATGCATATGTAGCATATTGTGATTCCTTTTTAAATCATGGTATATGTAATGGTATTCTTTCATTAGAGGTCTTGGTTGCTTATTTATTGATTAGATTTTCCTTAGTGATACTTGAGCCTTATGAAGCCATTACAAGCCTAGCTGTCTCTGAAGTAGCATTCGTGTCCCTGTGCTTCAAACTTCCACCTGCAGCTAGGATCCAGATTGATGCCAGCCCTGCTCAGTGCTGGCAAGAAGTTTCTTTTTCCCTCTTTCTTGCCATTTTAGCATCAACATCTGGTTGAGGCCAGGAACTAGTGCTGTGATGCTGAAGATTAAAGTGATACCATTAGTGTATTGCTGTGTGAGTGGAGTGTGAATCCTAATGAGGACGTGGGCTCCATGCCAGTTTAGAAAAAGTCTCACTCCTTTTTTTTTTTTTTCAAGTTAAGAAAAGTTTTTAATGTTGCATTCTCTAAATTTTAATGAATTGCTGACTCCTTTGTATTTTGTTATTGTTCTTCTCTGCTATAATTATTAAGGTTTTTCTTTTTCATTCTGAAGCCGCAGCAGAATAAATGAACATGCAAAGGCTGGAAAACCATTTAAGTGGCTAAGTGACAAAGTTAAAATAAAGAAGATGAGCTTCCCTCAGGCCAGGAGAGAACCCAGGTTCCCCTCATTAGAGCCAAGAGGAGTAATTGCAGCACTTTAATCTCCCGTGTCACCGCACTGGTTACCAGCCCTGGCTGCACAAGGTCCGTGCGAACTCCCTGCTCTGAGGGAAACCCAACACTTAACATTTCACAGCAGCCGAGGAGCTGACGTGGCACTGCTGTGCTGTGCTGGTGGAGTGCAGCCCCACCATCCCAGCATAACCGTGGTTTTATTTTTTGTAATTCTTTTTTAGCTGCTTCACACTAATTTTTATGCAAAATGCTGATTATTTCTGTGAAGAGCAGAAATCAGAAGAGTGATTTTAATCATGGCTGTGTTAATTTGATGTGAGCTTTGGTTGTTTATGAGCGTTCCCTTTAATGGTGCTAATTGTCAGTTATAATGTGAACACCATTATACAGTACTATACAGTAATTTATTTAGTAAATGAGGATCTTATTCCAAGGACCATACTCCAGTATGCCATAAAGACCTCATCCCTTTACTCTTACATGAACAAACTTGCATTGTCTAGGCCAAATTCCTTGTAGGAACATCAACTTGGCTTTCTGAAAGAGCAATGTGATTTCATAGCCACAAGTACCAACATGCATGTTTTTGAGAATATCAAGTTCTTTTCCATTTAAAAAAAAAAGTATCCAAAAAAACCCCCAACAGAAAACCGCACGAGCCATCCCAGCAGAAAATTAAGAGCTGACACCCTTTTATGTCAATTAACAAGCTTTTACATTTTGTTGACAGATTCATTTTACTTAATTATTATTACAAAACAATCATTTGCATTAACAATTCTTTCTGTTCTTCAAGTGTGTTTCTCAGAAGACTTTCCAGGTTCTAATGGTGTCTTTGTTCTTGCTACTTCTTTGATTTTCTTCCTTTTCTCTTTGAATCTACATACTAACTTCGGTGTGGTCTAGATCTACGGTTAGTTGCTGTAGTTGGAATGCTCAGGTAACCTTGCCAAAGTTTATTGCTGTGTGCTATCCTACCTCTCACTGTGTCACTGAATTCTGATGTTTTACATTATCACAGGCAGATGACAATCAGTGTCATTAATGTAGAAGAAATGTGTGGTATTCAGTGCACAAAAACCTCTACTACAGGGAATAAGCTGAGACTAGTTACTGTTTGGTTTTGGTTTTTTTTTTATTATTTTATCCTGAATATTAAGACTCTGTCATACCTGGAATCACCTAAAGGATATGTTCAGCCCTCTGTCTACCTGTGAATGGAAGGGGATATTTACTTCTTAATGTTAGAAATGGGACCATTTCTGTTCTGTAGTTTTACTGTTGGTGCAGTTGTGAGTCTGTTTAGATTTGCACACACTTTGACATTAAATGAACATATCACAGGATCTTCTCTTGGTATATAGGAGAGAACCAACACCCTGTGTTGCAGCTGAGTTTATTATTTTTGGCATCCAGCACATCTAGTAATTGTAATTTTGCAAAGATCTCTGGTGTTGACTTCACATA